CTCGGCTGCCCCCTAGTGTGCGAGCTGCGCAGACGCAGGCCAGTGTCCTTTGCCCCGGTACCCGCTCAGACGCCTCCAGGCCTCGGTTCGAACAGGGTATCGACCACCCTCCGGTCTCCAGCATCTGGCCATTCGGGAAATGAAGCTGAGGAAAGGAAACCGCACCTCGACGGCGACCAGAATTAGGAAAACTGACCACTCTCCCTCTTGCCCGCTTTAATGCTGGCAGGGACAAAAGGAGGATTCCCTCCCTAGGAGACCCTATCCATAGAAGGCTTTTCAAGTCATATCCATGAATTTTAGGGATGCTCACATCACAGTATTAAATAAGAGAAGACATGCAGGGCAGAGTTCTTTTCCTTCTGGAATTAAAACTCACCCGAATCTTATTCTGTAGGGTTTGGCAACTCCACTTTCTCCATCTATTTATTATCCTGGAAGATAATGAGCTCAACGCATCAGTTAAGTCCATGCTAATGAAGGAAAAGTAAAGGACTTCCTGCTCACCTCCACCTCACCCCATGGAAATTTCAAGCCCAGGTGGGGGGAGTAGGCCCAGCAGCCTACCCAGGAAGGTTGCAAACTGGCTGATGGTGCCTCCCTGAGCTCCTCGGTCACCCCCTTTGAAAGGAAGCCACCCACTCCTCCTAAGGCAAACCGCGGTGGGCCCATCACCTAATGATCACACAGCCGTTGAGCATTTCTTTGAATTTTATTGAAAATTGACATGGACATTAGAAAGGTATCAAGCTAAACAATGCTGGTTTCGGGATGTTTCTCCTGGCGAATGAAAGCCCCAGAGGGCCAATGACTGGTCACATCTCTGAGCAAAAAGAACAAAGGAGAAGAAAGGAAAAACAGACTCTGAAAAACATGCAAAGAGGCTCTCTCAAGAGACACAGGACAGTGGAATGGCAATGGTTGTAGGGATATATGGGAATGAGCACACTCACAAGGTATTTTGATGCAAGTTAAACCAATGAATTCAAGGCAGATTTATCAACATCAAAGCTCTCCCTCCAGATCCCAAGTTGAGCAGAAACTTCTCTCAAAACCCCAACTGGCCTTGGAAGGTTGAATGGAGTCATTTTGCTCTCACTAAGCTTAAACTCCCCCGACTCTCCCTTCTCCACCTGAGAGTTAGTAGATCCACTTCCCCCACTTGCTGGGGGGTCTGCAGAAGGTCTGTGAATGCTGAAGAAGATATGAATGTTGCTTGACTTTCTCATCCATATTCAGAAATGTTTAATAGTGGCTGTAGACAGTCAACCCATTGAACCAGAGAATTGGTGTTTAAAAAGAAAAACAGAAAACTCAAACAAAAACTTGTGAACAGTACTTCCACACCCACAGCTGAGGTCTCCTGCCTCAGTCTCTTACACTTGGGTGAGTCGTCCTGCAGTTGTCTCTCTGAGGCTACATTTGGTCCATTCTCCAGCTCGGATGGTTCTTTGCATGCCTTGTTAGGTTAGCACAAGACACTTCCATTTAAAATACCACGTAAGTCGGGAGAGGGCGTCTTGCCTGGACACAGGGACACAGTGAACACTTGTGTGGTATGTGTGTGTGTGTGTGTGTGTGTGTGTATGCGCACGCACTTTGGAGGGAGAGGGAATTGGTTGGTTTCTGATTTGAGACAATATGGAACCCTAACTCTTCTACAATGGCAGTCTTCTCCTTTAGACTTAGTGCAGCTGCTGAAGACAAGATTAAAAAAAGCTGGAGAGGGAGAGAGAAAGAAAGAAAACATGAAGTTAGCTAAAGAAAAAGGATATTCAGAGTAAGACAGGGTGAGGGAAGTGGGCAGTGTGAGGTAGCACAGAGCATACTTGGAGAAGACAGGTGAGAAATGGGGTCACTGATGGACCATCACCACAGGGAAATGTGCTGAAAAGGTTTTAAGAACACCACACACCAGTTAAAAGCTTCTTGTTTTAATTAAAACAAAAAGAGAGAGAGCACATATTAACAGCCACATGTGAATGCCAAATAATTAAAACAAAAAACATAAACAACAAAAAAGTGATCTGTACTGCAGCTAGGAAAAGCAAACTTCTTGGCTTAAGAGACATGAGGGGTGTGTGTGTGTACACGTGGGGATTTTTCAAGAAAACCATTCTATCCCAGTCTCGGCTGGGGTGGGCGTGGAGCCGGACACAGACCATTTCTAACGACTGGTTTTGTTTCACCAGAAGTAAACAGAGTACTTAGGGTATTTTTTAAAATAGTAATAACTGTACCACTTAAAAAGTCTTTTCACTGAAGAAGGAAGAAAACCTTTCTGTCTACAGTGAGACAAGCTACCCAATAAAATAAGCATTTTAATTCTTTTAATAGCCTCGGTTGACTTCCTAAAGGTCTCGTGTTCACTCACAGGGTAGATTTTTGTTTACCAAACTTCCTTGATGACAAGGATCACCTAGGGCACCTGTTAAACACCCACACCCGCACGCCCCATTCCAGACTCCCAGGAAAGCTGAGCAGCTAACAGGTGCCTGGGACTCTTATCGCCAGCGGAAGTGCTCAGTTCAGGAGCTGGCCTAGAGTCCTCTGCTTTGCCTGTCCCTACCCACCCCATCCTCGAATATTTTCTTACGGGATAAAAACCTCAAAGGCCCTCTAATACTAACTATTCATTTTCTCTGGAACATCAAAAGACTTGTCTCTAGGAACATACATGAACACGTTGAGTCCATCTGTAAAACGGCTCGGGACTCAGGACACACTGAATTTAGCCTGGCTTCTGCCATTAAACAGGACTGGGGCGTCTGGCAAGTCCCTTCATTTCTCGGGGCCTCAATTTCCTCTTACAAGAAAGTGGGTCCTATCTGTCTTCTGGACCAAAATGTCTCCCTTCATACAAAATTCCTGCCTAGTCTCTGAAGGTCTCTCAAAGGCTGGGTGGCTCTAATACCTTTTGAAGTTTTCAGAGCTCCCCAAGCCTCAAGTAGTTAATCTGTAAACAAATGCAAATGAGGGAGCCTCCGATTTGTAATGCAAATAATTACAGCGGATGGAGACCGATTAGTTGTTTAAGTTTGGGATTCTTGGGAAGCAGCCCTGAAACTGGTCACAGAAACATCAAAGCTACAAATAAGCAGCCTTTCCCAAGGAGACCTGACAGCCCTAGCTTAGCATCTCCCTGAGCTACTGGCTGAGTACCCAAGCTTTTTTGGTTTTTAAATCTCCGAGCACAGGGTCTCCGAAAATGCTCCACGGTGTGACTTGGATTTTCTCAAGAAACTAGCTTATGCTTTCGCAGCACCACCTTCATACTTGCTTCTGGCCACTCACCAATCAGTGACTCACCAAACAATACATGTCAAAACTGCACTCTTGCTTTGCCAACAAGAAAAGATAAAGTGTATGCATTTGTTTGCTTTTCGTTTTTTTCTGCTTTTTGCTTCCTGTCATTATCTATTATTGAAGAGAGAACTCCCCTTCCCATTCTCAATACTTCAAAAAGGCCTGAAAATTTCACATAGCCTTGTTTGTGTGTTTTGAAAGAAAGTGACCAAAAAAAAAAAAAACCCTCAAAAATAAAAAAGAAGGTCATGGTCAGTGCCAGTGGGACTGTGAGGCAGAAATCAAAAGAAGAGGTGGGGCTTGAAGTGGAAGTACATGGCAGGGGCAGGGGACCCAGCTGCCTGGCGCTCCAAAGGAAAGCTGTCAGTTACAATAGGAACCTTGGCTTAAAAGGCTAAATGGAGTCCAGTCCAGCTGTAGCAGGGAATACTATTCAGTACACAGCCATGGATTACTGCAAAGGAAGGGCAGAGAAACGGCGTGTTAGCCACAGATCGTTGCCAGGTCACTCCAGCTCTCACTCTCCCACTGGCCAAACACCAAAGGCCACTGTGCCTCATGGCCCTGACAATGGAGGGCTCTCAACTTCAAAGGGGCTCCCAAAGCCACTATCGGATGGGCCCCATCATACAAATCAGGGCTGGAAGATTTTTAAAATACCGAATCCTTAGACTGGAGACAAAGTTAGGGACCTTCCAAGGCACACCTCTTTTCTCCTGTCCAACTGATAGTCTCACCTCTTCTTATTGTGGGGCGCACGCAAAATACAGATCGAAACTCATCACATTCACCAAATAGACTGGAAGATTCAGAGCAAAACTGAAAACACTGATTCTTTGACCACTCAGTTTAGCAGTTTGTGACAGGGGATGATTATATCTGCTACTGGCCCTGCCTTATTGGGATGGTGTGGCGTCCTAAGGGAAATTACAGAGGAGATGCTGAGACACCTCGTAACAATTCCCTAAGACACTAGGTTGGTACTAATATTCAGGTTTATTCTGCCTTCTGCATCTGCGGGGTACTCAGAATAACAGAGAGGGGAAATTTATACTTTCTTCAGCAGTCGTGTTGTCTGGGAAGGGCTGGCTGTAAGTAAACTCGTTCCAGGTTTTTAACACAGCTTGAGTGCAATGATTTTGAGTGAATCAAAACTGGAAAGGGCTGGGCTGACAGGCCAGGAGGAGAAGGCACCAAAGGATTCTCCTTCTGGAACCCTCTGAGAAGAGGCTGCGGCTCTTCTGTTGGGGGCTGAGGGATGGTTGGGGAAGCCAAGTGACTGCGGACTAATGGGGAAAGCCATGCTGACTGGTGCTCACCCAGCCATGGTGGATGCAAATACCTCAGGGGAACAAGCAGCAGCCAGAGCTGGAACAGGGAAGCTGGTGGTATAGAAGAGCAGGTGGGACCCCTGAACATGTTACAGCCCAGCAAAGATGGAGTGGGGAGTGGCCGGCTGGGGGCGCTGGGAGGGGCACTGGGATGCAGGATGCATCTTTAAACCACGTGACTGATGGCTTCTTGACCAGAGGCCAGACGCCGTCCTCAGACTCTCGGGCTTCTATAAACCTTGACAGGAAGAAAGGGGAGGGCACGGGTTCTCTGCCCACAGACGTGTTAAGGGGGAATTAGAGACAGGGAAGCCCAGCTCTGTTGCACAGGAAAAGGGCGTCTACAGGAAGCCCAAACTGAAAATGAAAACAGAAGTTGGGTTAATGAATGGATGGATTAATGTCAAAAAAAAAAAAAGGTTAGAAGGAAATGTCTTGATGACTAATGGATAAATTAGAATATAGCTGTGTTAGATGGTCTTAAGTCCTTATTGCACTGGCTTCTGGGAACATGCTTTCTCTCTCATTCACCCACACACCTCTGAGTGGCGACCACAGTGGCATTAGCTAGCAAAACAATTATCAACAGCCACAAGAATACTTCTCTCTTCTTAATTACTAGGTCCTGACTAGCGCCCCCCACCCAGACACCTTGTAGAGGAGTACCTTTAGCAAATCTCCAGGTGGCCTCGGGCCACGGCACAGCGCGCCAGGCTCTCAGCCACTGAGTGCCTCGCCCCATAGGGAAAGCAGAGGAGGTAGAGGTTTCACCTTCGGAGAGTCCCAGTCCACTACCCGGTACCCCTGGGGCAAGATGTGTTCGAGACGTGTCTGGGGGCAGTAACTGGGCTCTGCACTAGGGTCCGACCACAGTCACCTGAAAACCTGAACTATGGAAATCCATTATCGGTTTGTGCTCACACTGCACTTTGAACTTTCTCCCATTTAAACTTCATCCTTGGGACGCAAGTTTGACATATGAGGAGGCCGAGAAACACGGTGAGGCCAACAGACTTGCCTGAGGTCACAGAGGAAGAGTCACAACCAAGAGGCGCAGCGCCTGAATCCCTTGGCTGTTTGATCAAGACTCTTTCCTTCACGCCACAGTGCCCCTGAGAACTCCTTGCCTGTGCATCTAAGCCCCTGGTTATTTTTTACCTGAACACATTTATCTCATTAAATAAAGATACTGGGGAGGGACAGTTAAGAGCACATGCTGAGTGCGTTTGTACAGTCACTTCCTCAGAGTGACTAATACATCCACACCTACACACACACACTCACGTGAATGGCAGTGTATACCAGGAACTAGGAGTTTTGCATTCTTGTTCCTCGCTATGTGAGCCTTGGCAAGTCTCTTAAATTCCCCACTCCTCCATTTGTTCATCTTGTCAACTGAAGATTAGCCCTTCCTCCTCTACCTCACGGGACTGTTGTAATGTGAAAATGCGGTACCATACGGAAAAACACTTTGAATAGCATGAAAATGTAATACAAATGCTCAGCTCTATTTTTCTTCTTTGTCTACTTCCTAGGGGAAGAGAAACCTATAGAACACTGCAACAGCCTATGTCCTGGGCTGCACGGGAAGGCTGAAGTATTTTGATATGTGTGTACCGTCCATGCACTGGGCACCCCCAACCAAGGGTCAAGGGGCCAGCAACCACTGAGACATAGCACCTGCAACTGTGTGCGGGTCACAGAGGAAGGATTTCTCTTGCAATTGCAGACAGCTGCCAGCAGTGCCTCAAGCCATTTCAAAACCAGCAGGGAACAGTAAGCCTCACTCTGCCCGCACTCTAGTTAATGAGGGGTGGCCTTTGTGATCCACCCCTGAAATGAGGGCTTTGGGGGATGGACGGGTTGCCTTTGCTGCTTTCAGACCCCAGGGAGCCAAGGCCTCCTTCCCCCATTCGGTTTGGAACTGCTTTTGTGGTGTGCTGGCAAGGAGCATGCCAGAAAAAGCCAACCTACTCAGGGTCGGGGTTGGCTGTTCCCACTGTTTGCGAATTGCCTCTCACTTGTGAAGTATGGCTTTAATTATAGCTTTGCCAGGACTCATTTTAGCAATGGCCATCACCAATGATTTACTCTGGGAAAGCTGAACCAAATTGTGTCAAAGAGCATTAATTCGGGTTTCATTAACTGAAATCTAACTGAACAGGATGCAACTTTCCTGTTGTCCTCATTGAAAATGGGGTGGGGGGGGCCAAAGAAAATACACATGAACTGAGTGTCGGCCTCTGTGCTGGGCACTGGGACTGCAGCCACGGACAGACACTCTCGGAGTTGTGAGTCTTCCTAGGTGGAAACCTGCTATTTCATTCAAGTCAGCTAACAGGGCTCCAAGACTTGCTTTTAAGCCAGGCAATAAATCATTTCATTGTTCTTTTCGGGGTGTTTCCTTTGGCCCGATTTCACGGGCCTTATGTTTCAGAAGCCTCTATGGACTTCCTCTTCGGGATTTGCCTGAAAGTAGGATGTTTTGCCAGCTGCCCGAAGTCCCCAGGGCAGTAGCTACAGCAATTAGTTCGGTGACTAACAGCAGGCTCTCCGTTTAAATCGTAGATTCCATGGGTGAGTGGGGAGAAGTCTTCTCAATATTTTATAGTCCCTGACCCAAACAAACCAAATGTAAAAGGCATTTATGAGACAGCCGGGGTATTCTGAACACTGACTAGAAATTTTGTGTGAACGAATTGTTCATTTTGGGGGTGTGATAATGGTGGCGTTGTCGTTATTTATTTTTTTTAAGAGTCATGAGCTCTTAGAGATGCATGCTGAAGTATTTGCAAATGAAATGATATGGGTTTTGCTTTGCAGTAATCCAGCCGGTTTGGAGCAACAGATAAGACAGGATTGGCGTATGTTGACAGTTGTTTGGGGGCTGTGTTGTGGGTACGTGGGGCTGCATTGTACTGTCCTCTCTCTTCTTTCGTTCCTGCTTGAAAGTTTCTATGGTAAAGTTTAACAATGGTAATAAGCCTAATTATGTGAGATTTAAAATATTTATGTTCCTCCCCACTCACTACCTGAGTCTAGTTAAAAAGACAGAAGCAGCTTAATCATCGCTATAACCAACGTATAAACTATGTGACGCCAGGGGCTGCTGTATTCGCTCCTGCAGACACAACACCTAGCCCTGAGGAATCCATCTTACCAACGGTTACCTGCTTACCTACTTATCAAAGGTGTTCATGAAGCTGGTACTTGTAGAATTAAATATTCTATAATATCTGAGAACCTTCATTTTCTTCCACTTTTATTATAGTTTTGGGGGCCAAACGAAATTAGAGAACTTGAACCCCTCAGGTAAGAAACAGCCACCAGAGGGAAACAGAGAAGCAAGTTTCCGTTGGCTCAAAACATTCCCAAACCTGGGCGCCAAGGCTGACCGTGACGCTGCAGAACAGGGCTTGTGAACTCAACAGTTCCCCTCGTCACAGCAGTTCAGTTAATTTTGAAAGTAATGATGAAGGCGCCTTTAGAAAAAAAATGGCCAAAATTGAAACTTCAAATATTGATCACAGGATCTACCTATGCTACCTAGCTGTTCTAGCAGCAAAAGTCTGAAAACACCCCACTTGTAATCAGGAAGGCGAACATTCCCACATGTATACTTGAAATCACACCAGCCTATTTCTTCATAATATAAGTCACAAGAGAATACCAGCTAGAACAATGAAGCAGCTTCTTTGATATTAGATACGTGTGTTGGGCAGGGGGTGGGATCTGGGGAGATGTGTTCTAGAAGCCACTGCCAGTTCTATTTAGAGTTAATAAAGCTTACCGGGACCCTGGGTCTCATGCAGCATGCAGCAAACAGCAGAGTTAACTGTAAAACAGTAAAAGCTGATGAAGACGGAGTGAGCTTGGGGAGAAATCAAATATTATGAATCAAACATAATATTATGCTGACACAAACAATGAAGAGTTAGAGGTCAAAGGAGATTAGGAGGAGTGGGGAGGGGAAGAAGCGAGGGTGTGCTGGTAGGGACCCCCGAAACACCGGTACTCTTTCTTAACCTCTTTCAGGGCAGTCAAAGGAAGTTCTCAGTATGTGACTCTATTAGATCCGATCACCATCTCTCAAGAAGAAATGCTTCTACCTCTACTTCCGCCCTCAACCCCTGCCCCCCCATCATCACCACGGGACAAGAGCGACACAGGTCTAACGATGGGTCTTCCAGAGGTTAGCCAACTGTTCAGGGAATTACATAAAAAGCCCACACCTGGGGCCACTTATATATCTGGAAATATGGAAGAGGACAGGCTGTTTTTTTTTTTTTTTTTTTTAGGACAGGCTGTTTTGTCAGGCTCTCTTGTTAATTGGAGATGCCTCGTGCCGGTGAGGTTTTCACTCATCTCAAAATTGGAAAAGGATGCCATCACCAACTCCAAGTATTCCTGGAGACTGGAGAGACATGTCTCCCTTATTGGGGTCCTCTGCCTGGGGGTGGGGTGGCAGTCAGTTAATTGAGGGCAACGAGGAGAAAGCCTGGTCTGGGAGGAACTTCCACTGAACAGCTCGATAGGGACTATTTATAGTTGAGTGTCAGTGGGGTCCCAACAAATGAATCTCCTAATTCCTGCCAGCAGGCTGTGAAACTGCCCCAGGGACTGAGTTAACAAACACCACAGGACTATGAAGGCCGGAAGACAAATTTAGACTTTTCTGATCTTAAAAATAGGAATCCGTTCCTGCCGGTGCAACTAACACAAGTCAGTTAATATACAGTGCGCCCAAAGAGGCTTTTTTCGGGCTACCTGAACTTCATCTATCAGGTAATACCACAAAAAGTTAGTCTGTGACTTTGACATAGAGTGTGAGATTCAGTAACAAAAAATCTCTGGACTAATTGGTGAAAATACCCAAATTACACTTTTGAAAAAAGAATATTCAGATGGCAAAACTGAGTGCCTTTAAATATAAGCTATTTTACTGTTGTATTTTATTGTTGGTGAAATGTTATACTGTTTTATCCTTAAGTGATAAGTCAGGCACAGAAGAAAGGATGTTTCCGCCTTCCGGCAAATATCCAATAGTTGAGTCCAGCAACAAGTGGCTAAGAACAGAAGGCAATGACCAGGGACATGTTTCAGATCCTCGGGCCGCTTTAGTAAGGACACTGCTTGACACTGCAAATGAGGGCTCCTCCAGTCACACTGCACAAACAACTAGAGCGCAAGGGACCACCGGATGTTTTCCTGGTGTTGTACAGGTCCCGTCGGAAATGCTTTTCTCTTCTCTGGTTCTGGGATAAGGGATGGATAACTTCAGCAAGCAAGGCCTGGGCTTGGGTCAGGGATACTGACCCACATGGTAACCAAGAGCTCATGCTATCCTGCCTCACCAAACGCCAGGGGAGACAGATGGATTGTACAGTCATCCCCGGCGTGGAGGATGGTGCCCGCGGAGGATACTAGCATCTGAGGGTTCCCCACCAAGTCCCCGGTACCCCAGGCTGGGAACAACAAAGCAGCCAAGAGGGAGGGACGGGAAGGGGTGAGAAATCAGGACCAGGTTGCAGCCTTCAGCGGCAGCACTTGAACCCTGTTGGCCGCAGCCGTGAGGACTGAGCGGGGGGGCGAGGGGGGGTCTCCAGGCACGGAGAGGTGAACCACCTTAGACCTAGGACAAGCGAGCAGAGGCCTGTGAGCTGGATCGGCTCCAGCCTCCCGGGGGAAAGAGGGTGCCCAGAGGCTCCTGCTACCCTCTCTCTGCACTTCTTTCTGTTCATCTCTTTCCTGTAACTTGGCAGCTTCTCGTTGTTTCCTCCCTTCTTCTTTCTCCTGTCTCACATTCCTTTTGCTTTTCCTCCCCCTTCCCCCCCCTCCTCCTACCTTGAGTTTGCAGGGTTTTCCCAAGCGGGCCGAGCAGAGGGGCTGGGCCTCTGGGGCCACACACCGCCCTCCCCTACTCTCAGCTCCCCAAACTCAGGGAATCCGAAGGTCCAGTGGGGACACCGAGATCAGCCCACAGCTGGCCTCGGTCACCGCCCTGAGGGGATGAGCAGGAGGGGAGAGAGGCCCCCGCCCCAGAGCAGCCCACTACTTACTTCTTCTTCTCTTTGTCTCTTTTCAGAGTCTGTGAGCCTCCAGCCTGGGAGCCCTGGGACTGGAGCAGCTCGGCTGCCGTCTTTCTCTGTTTGAAAGCGTTCACTTCATCATCCAGGGATTTCTTCTTATCCTCCAGCTTCTTCTTCTCGTCCTGGTGTAGTTTCTTCAGACGGTCAAACTTCTCATGCAGCTGGCAGGGAAGCACAGGGAGTTTGGGGAGACCCCCTGTGAGCAGATCCCAGCTGAGCCCGGGGGTGGGGTGGGGTGGGGTGGGGATGGGCAGGCTTGCGACCCTCAGGACCCTGGGACCTGACGAGCCATTTCTGCCAGGGACGGCTATGATGGCACCAGAGGGCACCATGTTCTGGATAGTTCCCTCCTGCCATCTTACCTCTGTGTTTCTGCTGCGGAATATGGTCAGGGAACCGTGCATTCTGCTTAATCAAGCATTTTATTTAAAAGAGTCCCCAGAGTTACTACATATGGATAAAAATAACATCAATGATAATATAGAACATTTACTGAGTGCTTATTATAGGCCAGGCACTGACTTTTATAAGCACTTTATATGTATTAGCTCATTTAATCATCACAACAGCCCTATGAGGTAGATTCTGTTATTGTCTGCATTTTATAAGGAAATAGAAGGTATGAGAAGTTAAGGAATTTGCCCAAGGTCAACTCATTCTTTTTATTTATTTATTTATTTATTTATTTATTTATTTATTTATTTATTTATTTTTGGCTGCATTGGGTCTTCCTTGCTGCGTGCAGGCTTTCTCTAGTCGCGGAGAGCGGGGGCTATTCTTCGTTGCGGTGCGCGGGCTTCTCATTGCGGTGGCTTCTCTTGCTGCGAAGCACGGGCTCTAGGTGCGCGGGCTCAGTAGTTGTGGCTCGCGGGCTGTAGAGCGCAGGCTCAGTAGTTGTGGCACACGGGCTTAGTTACTCTGTGGCGTGTGGGATCTTCCTGGACCAAGGATGGAACCCGTGTCCCCTGCCCTGCATCGGCAGGCGGATTCTTAACCACTGCGCCACCAGGGAAGTCCTTCAACTCATTCTTTAGATGATTATATAATGACATCTCTCTCAATATGAAAGGGGCCCCTGCCTTTTCTTATTCCCTCCAATCAGGGAGATCATGGGGAGTTGCAGAGAAAATTTCAGCAGTGCCGAAGCTGGTCAAAGACAAGACTTGTTCTTGGACATGGAAGGAGATAAAAGAATTTTAGAAAATGGGATGACTGCGGAAACCTCAGCTTTGATCAAGGGGAGGCTTAACTAGCCCTGAATAGAGCCAGAGACCCAAAGGAGAAGAGCAAGAATATTCTGGCATGCCACTGTGATAAGTGGATCAGAGAGCTAGGGGTGTAGGTGGTAACAAACTAGAATGTGATAAACTACCCTGAATAGTAAGAGCAGCCCAAGCATCATTTCACTTTCTTTTGAGGATTCAGGAGGGAATGGAGGGTTCTGCAGCACTCACAGTACACTGTGAAGGAGGTCACGTGTCCTCCAGGTATCTGGGACTGTCACTGAGTAAGGGGTGGTGGATGACAGACCTGCTGTGTAAACCAGCTTTTGCTAGTCACTTGGGGCAGGCTGGTGGTGGAAGCTCTGCTGATCAGTTGCTTTCGCCTGGCTTTTGTTCACTGGCCTTTCATTCATTTTCTTTAACGTTGAGATCCCCTCACCTGTCTTCCTAAAAGTACTGGGTGATATTATTCTTTTGAAGAGTGAAACTGAAATGAAGTCAATTCTCTTGCCATGGGCTTTGGCAATAACACCGGACAGCAGATTAAAAGAGGAAGAGGCTTGGGAAGTAATTAAGTGCTTCCTTTCTTTATGGGTTTCGAGGCCCAGAGAGCTGAAGCAGTTGCTGACGTGACCAAAACTGTGGCTGAGGCCAATTAATCTGGCAGCAGTAGGGGAATCGGTAGTGGGACCTTGGAGGCAAGGCAATGGTTAGAGGATTAAATGCACTCCACTCTATTAGTCACGGCTTAAGTAATGAAAACTCCAGATAGACCATCAAGCCTTAGTTTAAAGACTTGCTAGAGCCGCACAAATGTTTCTTTAATGCTAGCATGAAATGGAATAGAATATTCAAGTGGATGGGGAAATGCAGCAGCTGTCACCGGTTTAGGATTCAGCTAGGACTCCCTGGGACCATCTTTCCTCATGGCCCTCAGGGCAAGCAGGATGGAGCAGGACTGCGAAGAAAGTGATCAACTGTCCCTACTGGGCTCCGAACTCCCAGAAAGGGTGTTGGGGGGGAAATATCAGCCCGCCCCTGACCTCGAGGGGCTAGGTCAGGTCTTGACTCTTGAGTGGCGCTGCCCAATAGAACTTTCTGTGGCATGAGGGTTGAGCATTTGAAATGTGGCTAATGCAACTTATAAACTGAGTTTTAAACTGTACTTAATTTCAATTCATTTAAATTTAAATAGCTACATGGGCTAGCAGCTACCATATGGGACAGTGCGGCTCTAGTGAACTAAGTAACAGAGAATGAGAAAACATCCCGGCCTTGGGGAATGAGGGATGGAGAAGACACAGATCTCACAGCCTCCTCTGTGCCAGCCAAGGCACGGCGACAGATGCTGCGCCCCATTCCTGCCCGGAGGCTGCAAGACTCCCCCAGCTGCTCTCTTGGGGCAGGAACCCCTGTCTTGCCCAAGTTCAGCCTCCTTTTCCTTCCCACCTGACACGCAGGCTCACATTTACCTCTTTTTCTGCCTCTTTAAGTTCAGCTTCTTTCTCTTTGACTCTCTGGACGAACATCTGTCTCATCTCCTCTTCTTTTTTCTGGAGCTCCCCTAGGAACTCATTCCTTTTGGCCTCATACGTCTCCTGTAAGCTGCGAACATGGTCAGGTTAATTCCCCTGCCTTTGGAATGGCTCCTGTTCACTGAAAACTGGGCCCAGTGATCCTCCCTGGGTTCTCCCACCCTCTCTTCCTCAATTCTGTGGGACGTGCAAAAGCAGAAGCACAGAGCTGTGGGCACCTGGACTGGCACGTGACAGCAGGGTCACAGGGTGCTGCGGGGTTATGGGGCCACCCCGGTGAACCCGAGAGATATCTGAAACTGATCACATTGATGAACGATTTCAACAAACACTTGATGAGACTCCACCATGTGCTGGACACAGAAATAAGTGATACTATGCTAGTTACTCAGTATCTAGAGCCAACAGCCACTGTGCCTGCCAAGGAACTCACAGTCTAGTGGGAGATGCCTGGGTTAAGTCTCCCTGCCCCCGGCCTGGACTTAGTTTTAAAGAAATAGGAGTTAGCCTGGTGAACAGGAAGAGGATGTGTGCTCCGAAGAGGGGAGCCTGTGGAAGGGCACACGTGGAGAAGGAATGGCACACCTGGCTGGAGTAGTGGGAGATGAGGTTCCTGAGTGTGGCAAGAGAGAGCAGGCATTGGATGCCATGTTAAGACTTAGATGTTTTAAGCAGGGCTGACTTGATACATTTTGAAAATGGGAAAGACCACTCTGGGCATTGTGTGAAGGACGGACTTTCCAACAATCCAAGTAAGAAATGACAGGATCTTAATTAACGTTAAGGGCTGGGAAGGAATGTGGGAATGGGAGACAAGCGAGGGAAGCAGAACTCCCAGGACTTGGGAGGAGTCAAAGATGATTCTGGTTTTTCGACCTGGGCAACCAGATGGATGGTGTTGCCACGTACTACGACAGGGAACACTGGAGAAGGAGTACGTTTAAGGAGATGAATTAAATTTGAGACAGCTTGAGTTTCAGGTACATCCTCTATGGGACAGCCAAGTGAAAATATCCAGTAAGCAGTGGGATCACTGGGTTTGGAGCTCAAAAGTAAGATGTTAGCTTGGGAGTAATCTATTTCTAGGTGGTAATTAGGGCTGTGAGAGTAGAAAGAACCAGCTGCAAAGAACATAGAGAGTGAAAAGAGCAGAGGCCATCAGAAAGAACGGGGAAAGGAAGAAGCTGAACAAAATGAACCTGTCGATGAGGCTTTGAAGGAGTAGCAGCGCACACGACAGGACTGAAACCAGCCACACCAGTGCTAGAAAAGCCAACAGCAGAGAGAATTTCGGGAAGGAGGCAGAGGGGACGAGTATCAAATGCTATGTTGAGATTACAAAAAGATGGGACTCAGAGGCCACAGTGGAATTGGCTGTGAGTATGTGACTGCTGACCTTGGAGAGAGGCGTCTGCATTCAGTGGTGCAGTGGAGGCGGAAGCCAGTAAATACGGAACAATTCTTTCCCCTTCCCATCACAGCCAAACTCCTTGACAGGGCGGAGGCTGGTGACGAGGAGCAGGGTGAGGGAGAGTTTCTTTAGGATGAGAATGTCTGCCTGCAACATGGAAAGGAGCCAGCAGAGAAAACGTGCAGAGGGCAAAAACGTGGGAAACAGAGGTAGTCAGGATGGAGCCAACCTAGGAGGGGAGGAGACTAGATGACACCTCTTCCCCCGCAGGTGCAGATTAAAGCTGTCGGAAGGGAAGGAGGGAGAAAGCAAAGGCAACGTCCACCAGAGAGACCAGCATGTTTTCCTCCAACTCCAGGGGCTCTGGCAGCCCCTGTCCATGAAAGGGGCATTCACTCGCCCCTCCAGAACCAGGCATCCCCAAAGGAATGGCTATGCTTTGCCCCCAGGTTGGCTTTCTGCTGTGAACAAGTACTGTGGGATCTCAGAGGCCATTTGAAGGCCATCTTATCCCACAAGCATCCCCCTAACTTGCTTATCGAGGCCTGACAGCTCCTGAAAGGGGACCTGAGCTCCAATAAAGGACACCACATGGTAATTTACAACGTGGGGCTTACGTCACACATCATGCATCTAGATCAAACACTTAAACATATAGCTCCCAGCATAGTTATTTGAAAGCATTTGAAGCAATGTTTTCAAAAACATTCCTCTTCTCTGAAAGCATCTTCGATTCTGACTTGAAATGTCAATGATTATTAACATCCTGTGGTCAAAACAAAACTTGCCCTTGAACACAAACACTAAGGGCAGCGACTGAAGAGCTGGAAGTTCATCAACACTTGTGCAATGACTGCTGCCTGGTCCCATCTGGTTTTGATAACAGGGAGGGGGCTAAAGAACAGACTGGAAACCCGACGGAGCAGAAGGAGCCTGATGTAGAAAGTAGGGCAGTGGCCAGACACAAGCTGCCACGTGGCGGAACAAGGCCCGGGCTCAGGGCTCGCAGCTGCCGTGTGAATGCTTGTGGCCGCGAGACAATCGGCCTTGCCCATCCCCTAGCCTCCTCCCTGCCCCCACCCTTATAAGCAGGACAGCAATGCTTACCAAGCCCGTCCTGCCACAGCTCCCCCTGGCAGGTGTGCCGGAGCAGAGAAGGGACGGGCAAGTGGAAGTGGCGAGCGACTTAGCCCTGTGGCTCCAGGTCTGGGCACCCGTGTCTCACCTCCCCTGTGAATTCTCCAGGGCGAGGCTTCCCCACCGCCCCCCCCGCCCCGCCCCGCATCGTGTGCGCTGAGCTGAGCTGGGCCGGGCTGGTGGGAGAGGTACCTGAAGGGTTTGCTGTCGGGGTCGGTGTCCTTAAAGCCCATCTCCTCCAGCTTACAGCGGCGGTACAGCTCATAGTGCCGGCTGTGGGTCTGCTCCCGGAGGTCCTCCATGTTGACCCGGATCAGCATCTCCCGCAGCTTCACAAAGTCGCAGTGGGCTTCATTTTCAACTGCATAGCAGCGGTTGGGGTATTGGAAAGGAAGGTCACAAGAAGCAGAAATGGACAAAATGAGATGGGAAATGTCTAACAGTGACATCGCCTTTCAATCTGTGTATATAGAGCTCACAATTTTGCCTCCTAATTGGCTTTTCTACTAAAAAGGCAAATGAAAAGTTACAAGAATGACAGTAATGGAAAACTGCAATACTGTAAAAATATCTAAGAAGACATTCATTAGCACCTCAACCCAAATTCACCCATCAGACATTCACAGAAATGTTTGCTCCGCACCACTTTTAGGACGATGGCAAATGCACATTCAACCATCCATCTGATAAATACTCGCAGAATTTCTGTTCCCAGGACTGTGTGAGGCACTGGAAATTCAAAAACATGGAGTCTTGCCCGTAGGAGCTTCCAGTTTAGTGGAAGAACATAATACGATGCAAAAATTACCAACATGGAGGTATATAGCCAAGGTGCAACAAAAGCCCAGAAAAGCCCGGGGGCCTGAGAACTCCAGGGAGAGTGAAGGCTTCAACAAAGAGATGACAGACCCCTAAGATGACTCTTGAAGGAAGGCTAGGAATTAATCAGGCAGATAAGGGACTCATCCTTGCAAGATCTCAATGAGGTCAGGCAAGGTTACGCAACTAGAAGCCGCAGGGTTAGGATTGCAATCCAGGTCCTCTAAAGGAGAGACAAAGGCTATGGCCAGGCGCCAAAGTCCAAAGAACAAGGGAGAAGAACTAGGACATCAACAGATGACAGTGACAAGGAGGGATGTGGACCACAGGTGTGGCCCATCTGTATGGCAGAAGCTTCAAAGGAGGTGTTTTTAGAGGGTGGATAATGGCCTGATGGCAGCAATGATGACCAGGACAGAGTGGGCCCCACTTTCCAGGCTGAGTGAACAAGCCCCCTCCTCAAAAGAGTGTGGCAAAGGTCTGCGTTTGGGGCAGTGGCCAAGAAGGACAGAGGTGTGGACCCGATCCCAGCAAAGGGACTTCAGGTCATGAGCAGTGCTCTGGCACGTGTCTCCGGGCATGGCTCCACCTTGCTGGAATGGGGAGATGTGGCCTGACCACATTGGGACAGTAGCATCTGAGATGATGAACAGGCACAGTCACCCCAGATTCTGTCTCACGGGTCTGGGAGAAGGTCGTGGGGACAGGGAGGGACACGGGGATGACAGGGTGGGGCAGGGTTGCAGCATATTGCATTGCGGTCATCAGAGCAATCTTTCCAAAGCCCAAATCAGCTCACATAACCCCTTTGCCTAAGACACATTGCCTCTGGGAGAAAGCCCCTTGCTGTCATAGAACATATCAGCGTTAAGTCAGGCAACTCCTCAGGACAATCTCCTCCTCCATCCCTGGAGAGTGGTCCCTGATGGCCAGTCACAAGGAGTGACTCCAAGGCCCTGCAAGGCCCAGACAATGCATGGCTTCTCTCACTCAGACAGAACCACGAACTCCGACTTACAAGAAACACTTGGAAAACCCCCTTTGTTGGTTGGGTGTGGGGTGGTCTGAATCGGAGTATGTCATTGGGACCACGTCTGCTAGCTTCTCCTCATTTCACCTCAGGTTCCTGTCTCTCAGACTCCAAAATTCACTCCCAGGGTGGGACTGTTGGTCCAGAAAGCATTTGCAAATGTTCTGGGAGGAGCATCCCCAGACCCAAATGGTAGAGAAGACCAAAACCTAGCATGGTTCTGATGACCAGCGTTGTCCTTACCCGCGGAAAAGCCAGCTATCGCCGGAGGGTGTCTGGCGTGCCCCAGAGCCTGCCAGCCTTTGATGTGATGTGGACAACTTCCCACCAGCTTCTGGTTGTTTGCTCAGTGGCCGGAATGAGTTTACAGTAAACCAGCCACCCTCTCACACACGGTGCCCCTGCCGTCTGCCACCCAGCGTATGGCTGGAGACTCGGAGGACCAGATACCTCGTACACCCATGGCAATGTCCTGGGCCTTATCCACTGAACTGACTAGTACCACATAATATGTGTCAGGCAGACCACAAAAGGAAATTTCCTGAGCCCGTAGGCAATACGTCTGTTTTTAATTTGCAAAATAATCATACATACAAAAGAGTGCTTGAAATGTACAATTTAAAGGTTTAAAAAAAAAAAAGAACAACACCGATGTATCCATGGCCCAGGTGAAATGTTACCAGGGCCCTAGAAGTCCCTTTGAGTCCCTGATCTCATGCCTCTCCTTCCCTGCAACAAGACTTAACCACTAGCCTGAGTTGGGGATTTATCCTTCCTTTGTTTTTCTTTATAGTTTTACCACTTATGCATGAATTCCTAAAGTTTAGTTTTATCTACTTTTGGAATCCATATAAATGGAATCATACGGCCTGTCTTCTTCTATGATTTACTCAGCTCAGCATTATGTTTCTGAGATGCATTGCTGTAGATGTAACTAAAGTCCATCCATTTTCGTTGCTGAATAATATTGCATTATTTGAACATTCCACAATTCTCCCAATCTATTTTTAATGGCTATCTGGCTTGTTTCTAATTATTTGCTATTATGAACAATGCTGCTGTGGACACTGCTGTCGGTCTCCTGGTACACTCAGGCGAGTACACATGCTTTCTCACACACTCCTTCCTACCCTACTCCAAGTACATTTATTTTTGTTTTAAGAATGCTTTCTCCATTACAGACGAAGAGAGCCTGCTCTCCGCAGAGAATCCACGTATGGAGCCAGAGTTTGCCTGCTGGCAACACCTACGGATGTTTGAGGCCCAAGCTGAAAGAGTAGAGACTGGGGACAAGTTAGGGACTGGTCACACAGGGGCTGAGGACAAGCAAAGAGACAGACAGAAGGGGATCCCTGAGCGCAGCCCCCGTCCTGGAGATTCACTCACCCTGCACCGTGCCCCAGGGATACTGCCGCACCTTCACCATCTTGTTCCCTATCTTCAGTTCTTCTGTGCTGCCAATGACAGCAAACGGCAGGTGGGCCTGGAACGGGAGGCAGACAAAAGCTCTGAACTCCGAGGAAAGGCACTGAGCAACCCCAGTTCAGCTGCTGGTCATCGCCAGGGCCTTGGCGCTCCAGCTGCAGTGTCCCTCACTGTCGCCATTATCAAGAGACCTTTCTTAAGCTCCCGAGCTGTGTAGGGAGAATAGGCCTAGTCCAAGCTCCTGCTGTTCAGAAATTCACAATCGAAGGTAACAAGGACACGGCCGAGTGCGTAGGGAGCAGAGACAGTAAGTAAGCAGAATAATAAGCAGATACACAGATCAGCCAGCTGGTCAGTCTTCACAGTTGCCGAGGGGAAGAGCCTTTGGAGCGCAGGTGAGTGGGATGAGGGGGGCTATGTGTGGAGAGAGACTAAAGGAGAACCAAGGGGCTGGGATCACTGCCCCCCCTTCCCGGCGTGTGACAGCGCCGAGAATAGGCACATACAGAGACCACACTGCTGACTGAGATGGACGCTCCTTCCCCAGAGCAAGAGCTCGCATTGAGCTCTTGAGCCTAGAAGTCAAGTCCCCAAGCATTTACCCACGTGCCCATCCCTGTGCGGGGTTCTGTGTCAGGGGCTGTACGGGAAGCAAAAGGAGTAGAAGACACACTCTCTCGCCCTCGGGGAGCTTACACTCTGGTTGGGGAAGACTGAATTACGTACCCCAAATCACATAAGACAGAATATGCCCAAGGGCTCAAGTGTATGGTCTGGTGCCCTGTACACAGTAGGTGCTTAATAAATACTCATTGAATGGCAGTGGCACGACCACAGGAATAGCAGAGGAAAGAAAAGTACAAATGCTTGCAGGGGACGGGGGTAACAAGGAGCGAGGCCTGGAGAAGAGGCAGCCACCCCCATCTGGTAGCGTGGGACCTGGGACACCGGCACTGCACCCCATTCCACAGGGAGCCGGCCAGGTTATAAGTCTGAGTCACCACCGGCCAAATGGAAGCACTGAATAAATACTGTTTACAAACCAGGTGATCCTGGGTGGAGTTTTAGCCAAAAGGGCTTTACACAGAGAAGGCAAAAGTCCACTGGAACAAGCTTTCTTAGCCTGCTTGGAGAAACAGGCTTCAATCTCAGATATTCTGACCCACTTGCTCACTCATCCAGTCTACAAATATTTACTGAGCTCCTACTATGTGCCAGGCATTAAGAAGAATACAACGCCGAAAAAGCTCAGAGCCTGCCCCTGGCAAGTGCACAGTGTGGTAAGGGAAAGACGCACCAACAGTGATAATACAGTCAAGGTCCAGACTATGAACAGAGGCTTGAGGGCTGGAGGAACTCAGAGGAAGGAGAAGCTAATTCCGTGGGAAGTCAAAGCAGGCTTCACAGAGTAGGTAGTAGCAATCGCACTAACGGGATTGGGAGCTATGGACCTGATATTAGCAGCAGCTCTGTTTCCCACGTACCAAGTGCTCTGCGTTGCATTATCTCACTGAATCTTTACAACACTAGGAGGTAGGTATTCTCATTATCCCCATTTTATGGAAGAGGAAACTGAAGTCCGGAAGGGCTAAATGACTTGCCAGCAGCCACATCGCAGTAAGAGGCAGAGCTAGGGGCGGAATCCAGGTCTCTCTGACTTCAAAGCCCACCCCTGCTGGTCTACCACTCCCTTTTGGGGGGTTCGAGCAGCAGATGAGGGGAACACTCTAAACCCTGGGGGTGAACTGGCCATGCGAGGCCAGATTGTAAGAGGCAGTTGAAATCTGATCTCACAGCCAATCCTTCCTTTCCATTCTCCTCTAACTCTGCACCCCAAGAATGTTCTTCAGAGTGGAGGAACACAGGCGTTAGTCAGGAGCTCAGCCCCAGGACACCTGCTAACCCCCCGAGGTGCTTGGCCATCCAGCTGAAGCAGCTCCCCCTTCACCCCCCTCAGCTGCTCTCCAATGATCATCTCAGGTGTTCCCACTTCAATGACTGTCCCCGAAGTGCGGACAGAGGACAGAGGGAAAGATGAGGCTATGGATATGGAAGGTGGGTGATGGGTGGAGGTGGGAAATGTTTCATCAGTCCTAGTAGGGGACCGATCACGAGGGTCATTGGGCGTGCGACATATAGAGCATGGGATGGGGGGCAATGAAATCCTGAAAACTCTGCCTAAGTGCCAGAGCGTCTGTGACCTCTGCCAGCTGGCTTTGCAGGGGGGGTCATCTGGACACAACTCATTCCCCCTCAGAGACCCAAGACACATCGGGAGCCTCAAATCCACCCCCAAACACTCTCAAGGAAAAGGCTGCCCCTCCTGCAGACAGCCCAAAGCTTCAGTCACACGAAGGGGCAGCCATGGCAGAGGGCGAGACCGAGGGAGGAGATGTTGCATCATTCTCACGCATCCTGGGCTCTCGGCTGAAAGTGATGGAGGAGGAGGGCATGTGAAGTGGGAAGTACTTCTCTGGGCTTAAGAGCAAAAAAAAGAAAAAATCCAAGACGAGAATAAAGGCATTAAAAAAAATATGTCAGGGCTTCCCTGGTGGCGCAGTGGTTGAGAGTCCGCCTGCCGATGCAGGGGACGCGGGTTTGTGCCCCGGTCTGGGAAGATCCCACATGCCGCGGAGCGGCTGGTCCCCTGAGCCATGGCCGCTGAGCCTGCGCGTCCGGAGCCTGTGCTCCGCAACAGGAGAGGCCACAACAGTGAGAGGCCCGCGTAAAAAAAAAAAAAAAAAAAAATATGTCAGTATTCCCTTGGGACTGTTATTTTTATCTCCAAAAGACATTGTTAGTTAGAATGCCAGGGTCACTTACTTTCCCTCCTCCTTAAACTGCTGTCATTTTATCCCTCCCCACTCTAAAACACACAGCCCCTGCCACGGCAGCTCCAGAGGGCTCCCGAGGCCTCCCACACACACTCCTTTGCAACTGGCATCAAAGTCTGTCCTGATAAGTATATGCAAGGATATCATTTCCAAGTGCTCCCAGGCAGATTTCATTTGATTCTACAACAGGCTTACAGGGCGGTTAGTATAAACCCCATTCGTGATTTGGAAAACTGGTGCAGAGAAAAGTTAACCGAGTTGCCCAGGTCCCTAAGTCCCGTGCCCAGATCTTCCCAGGGAGCAGTGAGGACACCGCGCTGTAGCTGCCAGCCTCTCCCAACCACCCAGGGCTGGAAGTCAGCTCAGCTTTAGCCATGCTGCTCTTGAGACACTGATGGCTCTGAAAACCAGAATAGAGTCGAGCAGAGCAGGGAAAAGGTAAACCCTCCAACCAACCCCACCTCCAGGGCTGATACTCTGTATGTGTGGGCCCAGGGAGGAGAGGGAAGATGCAAGATGGCACAGCTGCTGAAACCTGGACAGGTTCCTAAGGGGACTGCGTTTTACCCTCTCTCGCCCAAGAGACCTCGGATGCCCCAGTCTCAGAAAACTCCACCAGGAGATAGTCCCAAGCCTCCTCCCGGGAGTCTGTTCCCAGACTCAGTACCTTTGCAGCCTCATATGTACCTTAAATTCCTCTCGGTACATTTTAAAGTGTTTGATGATCCAACTGGCATGATTATTGTATTCTGGTTCCACGACACCCATTCTACTAGGGAGGTTAGATGACCATCCCCCTAAGCCTCGTGAAATAGAGTGTCAGGACCACTGTTTATCTCTCATCTGGTAATATCCCGAATGGGTGTGGTTTCCTCCCAGGGGGATAGTATTTCCCAGTCGTTCTGCCGGTTATGCTGGCCTCCATTCTAGGCTCCTACCAGTGACCGAGAATTGTCTGATTCTCTCAAGTCAACCCTTGGTGGTGATGCCCACAGAAGTATGTGCCAACAATGGAAACGGCACCGCTGCCTCAGGAGGAGACAGGCTTGTGCCTATGGGTCTCCCTGTGACCCTCCCGGTCACCCATGCGCTCTCACTGGGCCCAAATGCCTTTGCGGGGGCCAAACCCAAGACCTCATAGGCAGTCAACTGACTGAGCCGAGTTGAGTAACTGGGCCTAGTCCCTGGTCCCTGGCCATGATCTGAAGCATTCAAAGAACAACATTCGATCCGAACCACATAGCAATTTTAAGCATTAAAATCTACAACCTTGAGAGCTCTCAGAGCATAGGTGGAAAGGAGCATGCAACAAGACCTCTCCCTCCCTTCTCTTTCGCCTCAAGCTGAAATAAGGGTTTTCAGAGCCACCCAGAAGCCCAGGGGAAGGCTAGACCTCACGACTCTCATTTCCTGCCATGAAAATCCCTAGTGGGGAGCTGCAGGATGACTGGGGGCTCTTCTGCACTTGGGCAAGAGGCTCCTTCCCCTCTTCCAATCCAGTTCCCATGACAATTGGCTGGGGTGGCCGAGGCTGTGAGGCTGGAGTCAAATTCAGAATTGAAAGGCCAGCACCCATTCCTCCTACCAGCCAAGCCCGGCTCTCTGATGATGCTGCTTCATATGCACGGCTTGTCCGAAGACCCAGTTTGACACAGTTGCTCCAGTGGCAGGCAGGCTCAGCAATCCTGTGTATATATTTTATAGCAGCAACTCCCCACCCTTCCCCCATCACGACACATGTAACACACAGCGTTCACATGCACGCCCCCTCCCGTGCACATGCCCAGTTCAGGCACGCTAGCTGTGAGCCACCCGTCTTTCCCACTCAAAAAAGCCTGGGGGAACGCAAGGGAATGAGTGCTGAGTGATGCTGTTATAGGGCTAACCCGGAATCCACTCAAATTTAGTTTTCCAAAGTGAAACACTGGACTAATGTAAGAAAGGACCCAGAACCCCTTCACAGCCAAAACAGCATGGTTGAGGACTGCTGCTTCGTAGCACGGGAAGTTTCTGACCTTGAGGCCAAGGCTGCTCGAGCTCCAAGCAAGGGCCCAGAGCTAAGTCGAGAGCAGAGCCCAACGTGATTGCCACTCCTGACCCACAATGCAGCCAGAGATCGTTTTGTGTGATGCCCTGAGATTGCTGAGGACTCTTCGCCCCTATCTGTCCTTAGCAAAGCAAACCACAAGCCTGAAAGCTGCCTAGTGACTTATGGAATCCACGTTCAGAAGGTATCTATGGGGCCTGCTGTTCTGAGGTGACTAGGCGCTTCCAGACATCAGTGCCTGATGACGCTTCTCTCTAGGCTCCAATTTTCTTGCAGACTAGGCACCCTTTCAGGTTTTCTCAACATGACAGAAGCTAGTTTCCATCAAAACGCCCTGACTGCTGGAGAGGATAAACACTAATCTTTTTTTTTTAGTTTTTTAATGCTCATGACCGGTCAGAGAGGCTACAACTCCACCTCCCACAATCCACACAGCTCTACCCTTGGGCCAGATTTCTGTCAAAGATGATGCGGGACCTCTCATCACAAACATATCTCGGGTGTATTGATGGGCAGGAAGTCAGGCGAGACAGTGACTTGCTGCCCCGCTATGCTAATTTGTTGGCCGATTCATAGGAGGTGGCAGCTGACGCTCTAATGATAACTTAGGGGGTGGCGGCAGCAGGAACGTTTTCTAAAAATGGCTTTTATTACAAGGCATTCCTGAGTTTGGCTATACCCAGGCATTATGTCATTAGGAAAAACCGATGCCTCTCAACAGAGAAAAAGAAATCTGTTCCCAAAGCAGAGGCTTTCTGCAAGCTATTATCTGTCTCCTTGAAATCACAACATTGACGATTTCGCAGCAACAGCATCAACACATTGTAAAAAAGGGGGAGTGCGGGAGTGAGAGGAAAGATGGCAAGCGGTTGGTTGTGTTTTTTTTCTTCAATTCATTCACACTTAATAAAGCAAAGCGTAACCCTGAAATTTAAAAATAACATTTCTCTAGTCACCAGAAAAATTGGAGGCTACGTGTCCCAGGGGCAAAGGGCTTGATTATCTGAGTACAGATTAGCCTCGAGTCTCCAAAGCCAGCCAGCTTTTTCAGCCTTGCCTTCTTTCGCCGCATCCATTGGTCAGAGACAAGGACCGTTTGCCTTGCCGGCAGTCCCATGGGGGCTGCCTGGCCTAGACCAGTGTGGCATCAGAGAGGAGGGTGGAAGGAGAGGTCTGAATCCCTGAGACTCACTCGGATAATGAAAGCTGACTGCACTAAAATGGATGGTGACGTCTGACTGCTATTTGGTAAAATAATAATAATTAAGGGCAAATGGCCAGCAAGTTGAAGCCCTGTACTGCCACTCACATTCATGGTTCCGTTGACCTCTGCCACCGCCTCATCATCCATAGGAAACTGGTAGATCTGGACTCCATTGCTGACGAGCTCGCTGGTGATTTTGATTTTGAACTTTGTTAGCTCGCTCTTAGAAATGGCATCTGATTTGGCAATGATGGGGATGACGTTGACCTAGAGAAGGGAGGAGCAAAGCGGCGTCATTGCTGGTAATCTGCAGCTGATAGCGGCATGACCTAGGACTTCTACCAGCTGCCAGAGGGAGCAGCTCAACGCAGTGGTCCAGGACTGGCCGCCTCCATGGCCAAACAGCAACATAATATACCACAATGAGTGCTTACTGTTTGCTGGGCACTGAACTAAGTGCTTTACAAGGATTAACACAATTAACCCTGACAAAAAACCCTCCCAGGAGGTATTAGTACCACAATGAGAAACTGAGGCACAGAGAGGCTAAGTAGCTTGTCCAAGGCCACAGAGCAGGTAAGTAACAGAACTGGGATCCACATCCAAGTTCAGCCTTATTCCTAAGTCCACAGTCTTAACCTGCCAGCTCAGATCCAAACTGCTGAGCTATGCGATATCTTGATATCAACTGCTTGGGTGATCTGAAGCAGAAAGATGAGAGTTGGGGATCGACAGTGGACAAGGGGAGAGGCGGCAACTCCTTGCTAACAGTAAATTGTCCCAGCCCATCGGCGCAGGCTAGCCCCAGCCAGTATGAAAGGAACCACGTGCGAAGGGAAGAGGGGCAGGGCTCTGTGAAGATGCACACCTGGCCCTCTTTCTGGCAGCAAACACTGATGAACCAACCCACTTACGTGAAGACGACCCTGTGTTACCAATTTGATCTGAGACTTAGCCAAAAAGAGTTATACTGCCGGAGTCTCATGATTAATTTCTGCATAAAGAAAGCAGGTACAGGGCTTCCCTGGTGGCGCAGTGGTTGGGAGTCCGCCTGCCGATTCAGGGGATGCGGGTTCATGCCCCAGTCCGGGAAGATCCCACATGCCGCGGAGCGGCTGGGGCCGTGAGCCATGGCCGCTGAGCCTGCGCGTCCGGAGCCTGTGCTCCGCAACGGGAGAGGCCACGGCAGTGAGGGGCCCGCGTACCGCAAAAAAAAAAAAAAAAGGAAGCAGGTACAAATGCCCAATTTTGGACAGCAGGAGAAAGGACTAATGCTACCCAAAGTTCAATCCACCTGAACCTCAATCCTTGAAATACCTCCAAGAAGTGACAAGGCTTTTACTGCTTGAGGGTATAGAAACCTACATGCCTGAGTGAGACACAGCACAGCTAAGCTCAAGTTCACACAGAAAGCACAGTTGGTCCTGCCAGCAGACGCCAATGGGCTGGCATGGATGGTACTTGGGCCCTGAAAAGAGCTCTAGACTTAAGACAAATCCCACCTCCTTTGCTCTTTGCCTCAGGAACGCCTCTCAAGGCTGACACTGCAGCTTCAGGTGCTGGTCAAAGAAAGACTGCACCTTGGAGGCACCTCCCTTAAAGCCTTGGGGCGTGGGGACCGAAGCCCTTGGCAAGGTGGCAACACTTTTCGCCACGTCCCCCATTGGCACGTTGTAAACACAGGCCTACCTAACTCAGCTCCTCCGCAAGGCCGCCAGCCGCATCACTCTGCTACCCTCTTCAAGACATGCGGGATGTGGCGACATTTCCCAAGCGGCCCGTTACTCGTGGGCAGTGAACTCACTGCTGTGAAAAACGAAAAACTGCTCCTATTTCAATGCTAGCTGAAACTCCATTTTTATAGTGAATGTGCTACTAAACAACTGCATATAAAGTAGATTTTTTTTGTAAAATAAATTCCCTGGAGTCAGAGAGAGCTCGGTCTGAATCCCAGACCCATTACAAGTTGTCTGACCTGGAGCAAACTACTTGACTGTGCCTCAGTTTCCTCCTGTGTAAAATGGGGATAATAATAGTACCCACCACACTGGATTATTGGAACGATGAAATAAAAACAATGCCTATAAAGTACTCATCACAGTGCCAGACACATATGAAATGTTAGGGGAGGAAACGTACTAGTAATTAGGCTTTTTAAAGAATCCTGTGGTCGGGCTTCCCTGGTGGCACAGTGGTTGAGAGTCTGCCTGCCGATGCAGGGGACACGGGTTCGTGCCCTGGTCCAGGAAGATCCCGCATGCCGTGGAGCGGCTGGGCCCATGAGCCGTGGCCGCTGAGCCTGCGCGTCCGGAGCCTGTGCTCCGCAACGGGAGAGGCCACAACAGTGAGAGGCCCGCGTACCGCAAAAAAAAGAAAAGAAAAAAAAAAAAAGAATCCTGTGGTCGACTCTTTTGCACAGCCAATAATTCTTTAACATGAAGAATCACTGTCTAATTTATATCGGATGTGGGACTTGCATTTTTCAGTTTATCTTAAAGCAGGATGTGCCTAATTCCCACAGCCATCTTCCTTGGGTATGGAGGCAATAAAACCTGGTGCCACAGATCGGAGTTCAAATCTAGGCTCTGCCAGGAGCTGGCTATATGACAATGGGCATGTCACTTAACCTCTTAGAGCCTCAGTTTTCTCTTCTATAAAATGGGAGGTAATGATAGTGTTTGCCTTACCGAGTTGTTGTGAGGATTCAATGAGATACTCCATGAGGTACTTTTACAGTGGTGACATATAATAAGGGTTTAAAAAATGTTAGCTGCTATGATAAAATTATTATTGATAATAAGAATAGTAACTTTTGAAGTCAAGTTTGCATGTCTGATTCTAGTAAAGGTCAGTTAACATCAGGACAAAGGAAAAACACCTTTGCATCGCCAAAGCCTAAGGCCCTAGACCCAGACAGCCGTCTTGCTTGCATCCACCTTTATTCCCAAGAGGGATCAGGGCAGAAAGACAGCTCAGGGAAGACTCATGCCCAGTGCTGGGAAAACATCACAAAGCATACAACTCAGGTGCTGGGTCAATTAACACCATCTTTATGGAGGGACAGGGAATGAAGGGGAGGATGAAGATGCCACAAAACCTCTCCTGAGCTCTGGCATCTGCATTGCACAAGGGACCAGCAGGAGGGAGCCCAGCTTGCCCTGCCTCCCGCCTGCCCTCGTCCCTGCCTCCCAGGCCTCGGTACCTTACTGTCCAGCTTCTTCATCGTCACTAGGTCCAGAGACTTCAAGGAATGACCCGTGGGGGCAATGAAGTACAAGCAGGCGTGGATGCGGGAATCATGGTAGTTGTGCAGTAACCTGCGAATCTTCAGCTCCTCCTGCAGGTAGGCCTCAAATTGGGCGTCGATGAATTCCACAATGGGCCTGTAGCTAAAGGAGAGAGCAGGGAAATGGCCAGACCACTTCAAAAACCTGGATTTTGATAGGCTTCGAAACTCTTTTAGAAGTTGAAAATGTCCTTGGTAATCCGACTCTCCCCATCCAGCTGGATTTCTCCATCTCCTCTCAGTGGGGCCTCCAACTCCGTCAGACTGGCCACCTCTTTGGTCCCCACGTGAGCCAACCATACGCCCATCAGTGCGCTTTCTCTCTAGAATGTGCATTTCTCTCTTCTCATCCCAATCCTGCCCTCCCAGGCCTCAGGGCTCGGATGAATGCCCATCTCCTCCACAATTCCCCAGTTATGCCAGAAATCCCTTCTGTGACCCAGGAGTGTAAAAAAGAATTATGCTATCGGATCGCTTACTGTTGCTTCACAAGGATTAGTGTTCCCTCAAATAGACTGTGTCCTTGTGAAGGGCAGGGACAGTTAAGGGCCCTTCTCTGCCCCCATGGGGCCCCGATGCAGTGTGGAGCCCACTGGCAGTATCTGTGGATGGGCTGATTGCACACCAGGCTGGGCTCATGTCTCCACGTCCTGCATCTCCCCCGCAGTGCCTAATACTCAAGCTGGTACCCAGTGGTGGTCAGGACCTCTCCTTGAACCATTGCTGGGGAATCTTCCAGAACACAGTGGGTTCTGCTCAATCTTCCTGGGTTCGAGGCCCTCCCCACTTGGCTCCCCTAAGGTCCAGATATTTTCCCAGTTCTCATTTCCTCTAAGGTCGTGACTTTAAAATCTACGTATTCGGACAAAATTTGGTAAAGATAGTCCCGCCTGCACAACCTTAACACATGTGCACACACACACACACACACACCGCACACCCCACCCCCCAGCTCACTGAGTCTCCAGGCACGGCGCTCCCGTGTGGCTCCAAGTCTTGCTGGGAGTCTCCTCTCTGTCCTGGGAAGCTTCTCTGTTCTCTCCCAGGCCATTCCTGCCACCCCTGCAGCCTCTTCCTGCTCTAGCTAGGTCATCTTAGCCTCCGCCCTGCCTCTGCTCTCATCTCCCTGTCTGTCCGCTGCCCCTCCCTCCAGGGCTTCTCCCTTCAAGCTGGAAGAGGTTTAGCATCCGGCCCGGGACAGAGAGTCTGCAGAGGCCACTGCGGGAAGGGAGCACGATTGAAGGAGGAGCAGCAGCTCCCACCCTGAGCCTTTTTGAAAGATCCCACTAGTAGAGAAGGCAAAAGAGCTTTTTTTAAAAAGAATCACAGAATTCTAGATTCTGAGAGCTACATACAGAGAGAGCCAGATGATGGGTACCTCTGGAGCCTCAGAGAAAAATCTAAAAATATAGTCCTTTCTTTTTCCTTTGACCCCTATGAGTCAAACATTGTTCTGAAGGGTAAGAGCATCAAAGAATCTGTTGGTTGCAGAGATCCTTAGAAGGTTCCTGAAGAATTAGGAGTGGGGGCAGGGGGATACATCCCTTAGGTTTATACAATTAATTTTCAGGTGACAGGCTCACTTGAGTGATCTAATTATGGTACTGCTACATTTTTCCCCTCCATTACATAACTTTTTTACTTTTTTTTTTTTTTTTTGCAGTACGCGGGCCTCTCACTGTTGTGGCCTCTCCCGTTGCGAAGCACTGGCTCCGGACGCACAGGCTCAGCGGCCATGGCTCACGGGCCCAGCCACTCCGCCACATGTGGGATCTTCCCGGACCGGGGCACGAACCCGCGTCCCCTGCATCGGCAGGCGGACTCCCAACCACTGCGCCACCAGGGAAGCCCCTGGAACATCTTTTGTTGTCATTCTACACATCACATGCCCCTTAGCCCTGCGTGGTCCTGGTCACTCCCATGGCCTCAGTTATCACTCTCTCCTATCCGCTTCCTAGACACCCGGAAGTCATCCCAGTCTCCTTCTCCCACGTGCCAGTCCTCACTGCAAACGCAGCTGTCAGAAGCTCCCCTGCTGGAAACCCAGAAGGCCTGGTCACAGACATTATACTTGAACAGCACCATCTCAGCCATCAAGGCCAAGATGCCATAAGGTCAGGTCTACTGGAACAGTGCCCAAAGTGACGACACCTAATCCACTCCATCCTCCCAGCCACCTCTTCCCTCTCTGCTCACTGCTATTCCACTCTCTCCTCACGGACTCATCACCCTCAAAAATGTGTCCACTGTGCCCTCTGAAACCCCTGAACCATGGTAAACAAAACTGCCTACCTCTTTGCCACTCAGAGTGTGGTCCTTGAATAGGGAGCACTATGGTCACCTGAAAGCTTGTTAGAAATCAAGACTCTCCAGTCCCCAACCCAGACCTACAGGATCAGAATCTACATCTTATTAAGAGCCTCAGTGGCTTGTATGCAACTTTAAAGTTTGAGAAGTGCTGGCCTATATCATCTTCCTCTTCACAGAACTTGCCTTACCTCTTCACACTACTGGTAACCCAATTCTCCCCTGAGGACCCTGCAACCCTGAGGACCCCGCGACCCTGAGGACCCCATTGCCTGGCAGCCCCCTCCTATGTAGGCTTCTTTTTTTTTTTTTGGCTGTGTTGGATCTTCGTTGCTGCGTGCGGGCTTTCTCTAGTTGTGGCGAGCGGGGGCTACTCTTCGCTGCAGTGCGCGGGCTTCTCATTGCGGTGGTTTCTCTTGTTGTGGAGCACGAGGTCTAGGCGCGCGGGCTTCAGTAGTTGTGGTGTGCAGGCTCAGTAGTTGTGGCTCGCAGGCTCTAGAGCACAGGCTCAGTAGTTGTGGTACACGGGCTTAGTTGCTCCACAGCATGTGGGACCTTCCCGGACCAGGGATCGAACCCATGTCCCCTGCATTGGCAGGCGGATTCTTAACCACTGCGCCACCAGGGAAGTCCCCTGTGTAGGCTTCTTATTCTCCCACAACCTGTGTACGTTGGACTCAGTGTGTGGGCATTCAGGTAGCCCCTCAGCGCCACTTCTAGGGCGTTACTCCTCTACCTCAGTGTAAAAAACTGTCTCCGTTTGAGGCCTGTTCCATCCTCTTCTGGTGGGGCCTGACCTCGTCTTTCTCCCTGTTCTGGTGACTGCAATGTGCTTGAGGACAGGCCATCAACCTTCAGCCTCTTTATTCCTTGATCGCCTCAACTTCACCAACCTCCAGCTCCCTCTACTTCAGCCACCTACACATCATACCATTCGCCAGGCCAGCTTCACCCAAGACAGCTTCTAACGCCCCACTATCTGACCACCACTGCACAACTTCCCAGCTCTCCTATGGTTTCAGTCTGCCTAAACCTGATCTTTCACCTCATAGAATCCTCTGGTACCTTGACCTCTCCGTTATCTCACAGGATATCAACCCCCTCCTGGCTTCATCTCCTTCTCGGCCCAGGCTGACCCCCATAACTGATTGTCCAAAACGCTCTTTTATCAACTCATCTCCCACCACACCCCTGCTTTCTACCCTCCTTGCCTAGCAAAACTGCTGGGCTGAATAAATTTCAGGATCTGCTTTCTGCTCCTACACCACTGCTGCTGAAGTTGACTCGAAGCAATCACAAAACTTTGGGTCCTGGGGACTTCCCTGGTGGTCCAGTGGGTAAGGCTCTGCGCTCCCAATGCAGGGGGCCCGGGTTCGATCCCTGGTCAGGGAACTAGATCCCACGTGCATGCCACAACTGAAACCCAACGCTGCCAAAATAAATAAATAAATAAATATTAAACAAACAAACAAACAAAAACCTTTGGGTCTTGGTACCCAAATTACTGGCCTCCAATCTCATTATAGGCCTTTAAAACAGCACGACAATCCTTTTGCCCGGCCTTGATTGGCTCCATTCCTACTGCTTTCATTGACCATGCCTAACTTTCAACACTTTCCTCAAGCTTCAGAACTTATTCATGACCCCTTCCCTCTCACAAGACGGTATTATCTTCTACTTTATCAACAAAATCAAGGTCACCCGGCTCACACTACCCCAACCCACCTCACTCCCTCCCCTTCCCTGTTCCCCTCTGGTCTCTGAGGATAAAGGGTCCCTCATCCTGTTCAAGGCCCACCATCCCTTGTGTACCTGATCTTATTTCTTTCAGGCTCTTTGAGAACCTGGCTTCATCTATCAGCTCCTCACCTACTACTGACTACTCCCTCCCCGCAACCTATAAACAGGCTTAAGTCTTCCCTCATCTCAAAAAAAAAAAAAAGATCTGGGCTTCCCTGGTGGCACAGTGGTTGAGAGTCCGCCTGCCGATGCAGGGGACACGGGTTTGTGCCCCGGTCCGGGAAGATCCCACGTGCCGCGGAGCGGCTGGGCCTGTGAACCATGGTCGCTGAGCCTGCGCATCTGGAGCCTGTGCTCCGCAACGGGAGAGGCCACAACAGTGAGAGGCCCGCGTACCGCAAAACAACAACAACAACAACGACGACAAAAAAAAAATATCTTTCCACAGCCCAGTCCTCCTCAACCACACATTTCTTCCCAACTACTGCCCTGTGTCTTTTCTTCCCTTAGCAGTCAAGTTTCTTTTCTGCACCTACCACAGGGTCTGGCATGTAATAGGTGCCCAATAAATATTTAATGCATGGATGGTGTAGATGAAAGAATAATCTACTCATTTATTTATTTTTACTTCTCCTTCATTCCTCAACGCACTGTAGACTGTTTTCTACCCTCACCAGCATCCTAGTTGAAACCTTCAATGGATACTTTGGGGGTTTTTTTGTTGTTGTTGTTTGAAGTATAGTTTGATCTACAATGTTGTGTTAGTTTCAGGTGTACAGCAAAGTGATTCAGTTATACTGTATATCTTCTTTTTCAGATTCTTTTCCATAATAGGTTATTACAAGATATTGAACATAGTTCCCTGTGCTATACAGTAGGTCCTTGTTGTTTATTTTGTCTATAGTAGTGTGTATCTGTTAATCCCAACCTCCTAATTTAGCCCTCCCCCGCTTCCCCCTTTGGTAACCATAAGTTTGTTTTCTGTCTGTGGGTTGGATACTTTTGGCTTTAAATGATGAAAAGTTAGAGGTGTTTATTTTCTTTTTCCCATCAATG